CTTGGAAATCCAATACATAACCAACTTGTGGACCCTTAGCAGCTTGAAAGTCAAAAATTAACTTCTCTGGTTAATACATTTTTGAGGCAGTATAGTGCAGTACATAACTTGCTTGGGTTTGAATTCCAGCCCTGATGCTTACTAGCTGTGTGACCTTGGATAAGTTTCTTAAACATTTTGCTTTAGTTTCTAAATCTGTAAAATGGACGGTTCATCTCATTGTGTTCTTGTACTGATGAATGAGTCACTGTAATACAAATTAAACACTAGTATTAATAGTTTTACCTAGCAAGTGATTATTATTAGTACTCGCTTTATCTTTTTGTTTTGATTGACTTTTGTCTCATTTCTTATGGACCAGAAGAGGCCAAGTCTAGTTTGAGGGGAGTAGGGAATGTAGAGGCAGGAAGAAATACAAAAGAGAACTGGAGGAGAGGAGAAGCACCTTTGTTGATTTACTATAGCCTGTTACTTTTTTGATGCTCTTGGGGAGGAAAATAATTTTATATCTTAAAAGGAAAATTTCCGATGTGTAGGGAGTGTGTGTGTATATGTGTATGTGTTAGTTTTAAACTAGAGGTGAGATCTTGCCCTCATTGCTTACCTAACCTGCACTCACATGAGCCTTTAACATAATAGGGCTAATTTCCTTTTTAAACATGCACACTTGTGGTGATCAGTGGTCTAAAATAATCTGCATGTCACTCACATTTTCCAGTGTGTGTTTACCCACGGGTGTGCCCTCCGTGCTGGAATTCAGATCTCTTCCAAACAAAGGGTAGAGCTGCACTGAGGCCCCAGCAGAAAAGGAACTTCGGGGTTGCCTCATCTTCTGTCCCTGTTCACTTTTCCAAACCACCCTTTGGCCTCTTACGAAATTGGCTATTTGTGCTGGCCCCTCACTAGGGACTGGATAAGTTGATTAGGTCAAAGAGGCCTTTTCTGATTTGAGGAGGAAACCTTAGATCTTTTCTTCCAGCTAACAAAGATGTTTGCAACAGGGTCTCAAATATGTGTTGCCAAAAGAGCTTGTAAATATGGGAGGTGATGATGACCAGCCAAGGATTGAAAAGTCCAGCAGCTGACCGTTGTCTCTCTCTGGACCTTGCTGGAATGTGCCGGAATACTTCACATGCTACTGATAAGCAGCCAACCAGGTATTGGGTTGAACAGGGTGTTGGGTAATTGTGTCAGAAATAATAATTCTCCACAAGAACTTACTGTGTTTTAATATTTAATCCGTATTCATCTGCCTCATGCCGTTAAGAGCAGCAACTTGCCTTTTGACATGACAAAAGGAAGAAAATATATCTGTTGCCCCTTACTGGTGTCGCTGAGTGGTCCTTGCTGGGCCAGTTACTGGACTTCCTCTGTGGCTTTCAGAGCCATTTAAAGAAAAGGATGTTGACCTGGGTGTGTAGGAACACAGGCCCCGGAGCCTCACCCTCACCCCGCCTCAGCCATACACCTGAATAAAGCCGGAAATGTTTGTCTACCTGCCAGGCTCTTCTTTCCCCAAATAAAGAGCATTTTCTCTGGGTTTCCACAAGCCTCCTCTCCATCCCTGAGCCCCGTGCGCTTTGAACTGGCCATTGATGGCTGCTCTGGTTCCATTCTGAAATCTTAGCAGGGTCAGAATGCAGGAGCATGGAGGTAGAAACCTAGACTGCTGGGGAGAGGAGCATTGCGTAATCCAAATGGTTGTAGCAGCTTGTAATTTTTAGTTTATGTGAAGCCGAGATATATTCAACTCCCCTTGAACCTTTTTGCCTTTGATAAGAGTTTATTTCCTCACACTGACAGTGAAAACCAGTTGGGTTGGAATTCAGCCACGAGTATTTATTTCTACATTTTGCGAACTGTTTTGTCTTCCTGGCGAGAGATTTCCTTCCTCCCCCCTCCTCTCCTTCTGTCTCTCCCAAGACAGAGCCATGCTCTCTGTCTCTTTCTGTCTGTGTCTCTCTGCATCTTTCCATGACTTCCTTTTTTTCTTCTTCCCTTTCTTCCTTCTTTCCTTGAGTTGCTAATGAAGATGGATCCTGAAGTTTTTGAATCAGCTGAAGCGTAAGGGGGGAGCACCCTGCTGGCCCCTGTGGTACCTGAGTCCCCGTGTCTGCCTGCTGAAGAGCGGGCCGCGTGGGCCGAGAGCCTGGGCTCTCCCCGCTGCTGCCCAGGAGCCTCTTCGCGGTAAGCAGAGGAGCCTGTCTGCCCTGTGAGAGACCGAGTGGCCTTGGCCCTGGCGCCTTCGTTCCGTGAGGCTTTGGGGGTGCACTTCACTGCCTTGAGGTTTCTCAGCAATAGCAGGTGGATGTCAGGTAACTTACACCTCGGCTGGAAGGGTAGCTTTCCTTTTTCTGGATGGACTCAATGTTGAGGGCTTATATCATCAAAGTGGTGTGTGTGTGTGTGTGTGTGTGTGTGTTTTCTGGGACTCAAAATTGAGGGCTTATATCATGAAGTGGGGTGTGTGTGTGTATGTTTTCTGGATAGACTCAATGTTGAGAGCTTATATCATGGAAGTGGGGTGGTTGTGTGAGCGAGATGTGGCAGAAGGAAGGCTCACTGTCCAACTTCAAAAGTCTCTTTAAAGAGACCTTGTGAAGGACCACATGGAATTTATAACTGGATCGCAAAATTAGTACCATTAAGGACCTGAAAATAGCTCTTCAGGTTTGTAGGTCACACCTTTCTAAGCTGAGTTAATGAGCAAGTCTTTATTCTTTACAAGATTAACCAGGTGTATTTGGCTAATGTTAACTTTAGTTTTGGCGGCCGAGTCGTCTTGCTAATGAGGCCAAAGTGGGAATTCCTGTGTCTCGTGGACCAGTTACCTTCACTCTCTCTCCTGGCCACTGACTGCTAACTCTGGCCAGCTGGCTTGTGCGTTGTGAGCGGCTGCACTTGGATGTCTGAGGGGGGGAAGTTGTTGGGCAAGGTCCCTTGTGGATTAGCACCAGTCCATAACTGCTCCTGGGGAAACGCTCACACACAGCAGGCCACCGCCCAGAGGTCAGTTCCATTGTCTCCACTTCTCAAAGACAATAGAGTTGATTAGGGTTAACTGGAAAGTGCTGATGTTCCTGGGATTTTGGACTTTTGCCAGGACATATGCACCCTTTAAAGCGTTTTGGGGAAAACTGTGCCATGATTCATTGGTAGAAGAGCTTAGGAGAAGTAGAAAAGTGGAAATCAACAAAAAGAGAATGGTTAGAGTTAAATATGCTGCATTGACAGTGGGCTTGTCAGCAGCTTAAAAATAAGTTTCCTGGGCATGCACTATTTTACAAAATCTTACCTTGTACCAAACCACGGTTGTAAGTTCTTTAGATTTTTAACTCTTGATTCCTCCCTATTGCCAGAATGATGTGCTGGGTAAGTTAACTTTGTATTATATTTAATTTATTAAGAAATTGCATATTAAATAGAAATCTTCCTGTTACTGGAAACATTTTGGATTTTAAATAAACGCCGAGGAATATATAATGTTTTGGAAGATAAATATTTGTTTAAGGCAGTTCAGTCCTTCAACATGTGTATTTTTAAAAACAAACAAAAACCCCAGCAATATTTACCCTAAGTGTAATTTGCAGAGAAAAATGAGAGTAATTTTGAAATCCTGTAGAACTTGGATTCATTTATTTTCATAGGAAGGATTCACATTTTGTAATGATGAATATGCAATGAAGAGCTGTTAGGAAAACCATTATTTGGCCTAGATCTAGGGAATTCTAACCCTGTCCTTGTTACACATCAGTACTTTCTAAGAAAATTAGGTCCAGAGAGATGGGGACCTGCCCAAGGTCACACAGCTAGAAAGTGACAGAGCTTTGGTGAAAGCCAGTTCTCCCAACTTTCATGTCAGTGATATCTCCATGACTGTTTGCTGATTTTGACTGGGGCAAGGAGATGTGTCTCTTCCTGTGTGCACTTGTGCATGTGTGTGAATAAAATGACTAATTTGCTTCTTTTTAGCAAACTGATTATAAGCTCAGTGACTTGGAAATAATCATTTTCTTTCTCATCCTTTCAAGGAGCAAATTCAGCCTATGGCTTTGTAGTCCTAACATCTTTGGTATCTTTAGATATATGAGTGACTTAGTCTTTGCTTTGTAAGGTGTTTAGAGCAAGTAAGGATACAACAGTAAGCTGAATCTGGGAGGAAAAAACTATTACCTTTCTTGTCTATCGTCATTCCCTTGAAAATAACTATGACTCAAGTTTCACTTAAACATGTGGTGACTTACAAATGTTGTGGTTTATAAAATACGTAACAATTTAGTCCTGCCTTTTTCTCTCCCCCGCCTTGGTGATCATATTCTGCCTGTTTTAATGTACAAACAGCCAACTGTGTTATTTTCAGAAGGACCACCCCACTTATAAAATCAAGTGGTCTTTAATTTGTTTGGGGCTTTGAAAGATTGTTTAGCCTTTTCCTTTCAAATGCAGGAGTAAGGAAAGCTTCGGGTTTGGATTTTGTAAACATGTATTTTTGCCATTAACATCAGGGCAAAGGCTTTCCTTTTTCTTTTTTTATTTGATTGAACAAACTGTTCACTTGCACTACTTCACTCTTTTCTTTCCTACTTTATTCTCTCTTTTGATCCAATTTTCCCTTTTGTTTCTGTTTCCTTCATTTTCTGTGTCTTTGAGGAAAATCAAGGCTGAAGTATGTGTAAGTGACCAATGCTACAGAAATTTTTTAAAGCTATAGATGTATTTTTTTTATTTCTTTTAGTTATTTGTATCTTTTTCTTTTTGAAGTCTCTTAGGAAAATTAAGGCTTAACTATGTGTAAGTGACCAGTGCCATAGCTGTTAATAAAGATACAAATAATTAAAACACATGAATTTTAAAATAAAGTTTAAAAAAATGCCATAGCATTAGTCTTTTAGGCATATTTCAGTTCTAATTTTTTAAAAACACTTTAAAAAAGTAATATGTATGTGTGTGTATGTATATATGTATGTGTGACTATATATGCACACACAGTATGTAGTGAATAAGATTTCGTATCTTTATAAATACATTCAAAAGAGAACCATTTCAGACACATGGACTTTTCCTGAAGATGACATCTGTCTAAGGGGTTCTGGCATTTTCTTTGTTAGTCAGATTGGAAGCAGTTGAGTAAACCAGAAAGAAACGTGCCGCCTGACTGCTCCAGGCACAGAGTTGGGGAACCTGGGCAGGTAGCGCTCAGGTTTCCTGTGAGCCTGCTCACCCACTTTGTTTTGAGGCAGAGACTAGGGGATGTGTGTCCAGACAAGACTTGCCCAGCCGCATCTGCGCCATGTAGATGTCAGTTGTCACACACACCCTCGAGTCTGCACCTCTCAAGGGCACTGTTGCACATCACAGCCTGGTTTTTGTGGCTCAGCATGGCTGGTGGCTGACCAGGGCTTGGTGTTGACCATGTTTAGGGTAACAAGGACACTTGAAGGACATAGAGATACCGTGCACCCGGAGTCACTGGTGTTCACAACCAGAGCTGGGTGCCCGTTTCGCCCTGATCCTCCTCAATCCCTTTTCAAGTGGAAATTTTGCAAGTCGACTTCTGCAAGCATGCGTAGTACGATTTGGCTGACGGCAGTTTCTGGCAAAAGAAATAACCAAATTATTATTCAGTCATGGGTTTTTAACAGCCGCAAAGCAAGTGGATGTTAACTAAATGATGCAATTTATTCCCTTCCCTCTTATTGCCAGCTTGCCTATTACAGAACGACTGCCAGTTTTCAATAAGTGGTACCCAGATGGTATTCGCATGCCGCCCACTTGGTTACAGAGCCGAAGCGGGGAATAACTCGGCAGACACTACAAGCTGTGGGTCAATTGAGGGGGAATGCCTGTTGCTTCACAGTTTTGCATATGTAAATCTGTTAATGTTATGTCAGTATTGTGCGGGCTAAACACAAGCATTGCCTTTCTCTGGGGGCCCAGCTGAACTTGGACCGCAGCCCAGTCCTACCGAGGCTCGCAGAGCGAAGCTGCAGTTTGAGGATGCTGCGCAGCCTGCCTCCCTCCACTCCCGCCTCGCCGCTCTCGCGGTATCCACCGCCCGACTTGGACGCAGGAAGTGTCTGCCATAGGCTGACTCCATAATAGGACAGGCGGGCCGGTTTTATGAGGTTGGATGCGGAGGGTGGAGGAGTGTGAGCGCGTGTCTATTTTTAGGCCAGTCTTCAAGACAGCTCCTCGGGCCCAGCCCGCGCCTGCCTGCCTCGCTCACACTCTCCTGTGTGTCTGCCACACTTCTGCTCTCCATTTCATCAACTGCAGATGTGGCACACAGCCGTCTTAGAAGAGTCATGAACTGTGTCGTCTGCGCGGCTTAACAGCCAACATCTGTTGCAGCAGGCTGAAGGGAGAGGCAGGGAAGTCATTTTCGGGAAGGCATTCAAGTGCCTCAACTTAGCCTCTTCTTTGGCCTGTGCAGACAATTATTTTACACTAATTGCATCAAGATAGCAGCTATAAAAACTAAGTTTGAAGCCCTCTCTTCCCCCACCCCCACCCCCTCATGAAAGTTGCAGCTACAAAGGGCAGTCCTTTTTTCCCCCCCTTTTTATTGTGGTTTGTGTCTTGTTCTCAAAAGCTTATTACATTGGGTGCAAACAACAACAAAAATGCTATAAAAAGGCAAGAATCGTAATATGCTTAAGAGCTAAAAAGACCTATGGTGTTGGTGTAACCTATGAAAATATTCCTGCAGGTATTGTAAAATTTATGTGCCATATGAAAAACATTAAGGGTGTTGTTTTTTCGTGGAGGAAAATGTTCATCGTTGAGCCATTTTGTAAATTATTTTAATGCTACATTTCTGCTAAAACCTCATGATTTTGATATATAAACCAGTTTAATGTTTTCTGCACAGACCCTGGCTTTTCTTAAATTTTATATATTGGAAAGCCCGTGTTTGTATTGGACCTTCTGGTTTGTTTCATATTGAAAATCCGTCTTGCGTGGCCCTGTGCCATGTGGCTTAGGAATAGTTTGACACAAGTCAAGCCTTGAATGTTGACTTTTGAGTCCTAAAAACTAGACAAGACTGTGTTAATAAATATAGAGAAGTTTGGTAGTTTTTTTTTTTTAAGGAGTTATTTGAAGACAATAATGTCACACGTCCACAGGAGGTGTTTTCTGATGTGTTGGCCTGTTCTCAACTCTCATCCACTTGTAATAGAGGCAATGTTGTGTTTTGTACCCAGGTCTTAGTTTTTTTAAATGCTCTCAGTAAATTGTGGTTAATTACACATTCCAGCATCTCTGATTCTCTTGAAAGATTTGTTTCCGTGACATTTTGCCGTATCTGCTGTGCAGCTAGAGAAGCATGCTTCCCTCCTCACATTTCAAGTCTCTAGACTTTGTTCTGAAGAGCCAGATGGAAGTATGCAGATTGTTTTTATCTTTCGTCCTTCACACTGTAACCTGATCTCCAGCATATCTAGACATCTAGCAGAAAATTTACTATGTGAAAGCAAGGAAATGATTTAGAATATGGACCAGCCAGGGGAGGAAGGGCTTATGATGCACTTTATCAAAGCAAATCTCCCCACCCACCCAACCCCTGCACCCATCTTTTTTCTCTTCTTAAGAAATGGTTTTCTGATCAAGGGTACTTTAAAGTGTGCCCAAATAAACTTCTTCCCACTTACCCTGGGCTGAGAACTGTAATTGCCCAGTGGGTTTGATAAACATGTAAATATGCATGCAATGAAAGTTCATTACCTAATGATTAAAAAGCTTAGAAGAAGCGTGAATTGGTAGAATGATAGACTGGGCAATGGCCTTGCAGATGAGGCAGGGCAGTTTACTAAGACAAAGGACATTTCCAGAGTTACATATCTGGTCTGAGACACATCCAGGACTCAAACCCAGCATTCCCCCAATGGCCGCAGGAAAAAGCATAATCTCAGGCTTCATAATATGTGTGGTTTTCATGGTAAAATATTTGTGAGCTTTTTGTTATGTGGTTCATATGCCTTGTTGGCCTAAAATGATTAAGGACAGTTGTCTCCTTCTAAACTTTGATTTCTGTTTGGAATCAAATTCATAACTATTAATAGTATGAGAATCTTCAAGTTAATAACTGTATCAGGGTATCAGATATTTGCTACACTCTTGAGTAAGTATGTAAAGTATCTGTTTACACACCCTGCATAATGTTTACATTTTGGATTCACATGACTTAGGTTTAAAAACTAGCTATGGCCTTTGTAAAATATGAAGCCTTGGGTAAGTTACCCTAACATCTCTGAGTCCCTGTTTTCTCTTTTCTGTGACAGTGATAATAATAGTACTTGCCTCAGAATCGTCCCAAGAAGTTAATGAGATGACATACACATACTTAGCATGGGGCTAGCACAGCACACAGTGCGCTTTCCTTAGTGAAACTTTATTATTTAAATTGATTATCCCACTGTTATAGTAGGGATATTTTCATTACTCTAGGAGGGGGATCAAAAAGGATCTTGCTGTGATTTATGTCCAAGAGTATTCTGCCTATGTTTTTCTCTTAAGAGTTTGATAGTGTCTGGCCTTACAGTTAAGTCTTTAATCCATTTTGAATTTATTTTTTTGTATGGTGTTAGCAAGTGTTCTAATTTCATTCTTTTACTTATAGCAGTCCAGTTTTCCCAGCACCATTTTTTGAAGAGAGATTGCCTTTTCTCCTTTGTCTAAGATAATCGTGCCTCCTTTGTCAAAGTTAAGGTGCCCATGGTTGCATGGGTTATCGCTAGGATTTCTGTTCTGTTCCATTGATCTATAGTTCTGTTTTTCTGCCAGTGCCATCCTGTCTTGATTACTGTAGCTTTGTAATACAGTCCAAAGTTAAGGAGCCTGATTCCTCCAGCTCCATTGTTCATTTTCAAGATTGCTTTGGCTCTTCGAGGTTTTTTGTGTACCTGTGTAAATTATAATTTTTGTTGTTGTTGTTAAATACCATTTGTAGCCTCAAGTTTCCACTTTTCCTCCTGTAGAGTAGGTTCCTGCTTCTTGCCTTCCCTTTCTCCTTCTCTCCCACTCTCTTTCACCCCACTGGCACCCTCTGAAGCATTATTTATTTTACCTTTGGGTGTCATTATACATTGTTTACATCATTGTCAAGAGGACCAGTTCTCCTGCTTCCTCTACTTTTACCCTATTCTCATCCTTGTTTAGTGATACTTTCTTCAACTTCTTAGCTGGAAAAACTAAAGGGGAGTTTGCTCAATGGCTGGGAGGAGGGGAGTTTTCCCCAAACTTGTTCTCTTGTCTGTGACTATGTTTCTCATGATTGTAATCATATAATCCATACCATTAGAACTAGTCTATGGCTCGAATAACCTAGTATTTAAGGGCATATTTAATGTCTAAAATAGAAAATAGAGTAGATACTTTCCATTAGTATTAAGAATTTCATTCAGGTGTTTCTTGAGTGCCTACTATGTGCTCAGTGTACATGGCAAGCAAGACAGAGACTGTGCTCAAGGATCTTGGAGGCTGGCGTGAATCCTGACACGTTGTATCTCCTTGAAGTCCAGCTTCAGTTGTATTTTTGTTACTCTTAAGCTTTTGTTGTTGTTTCTTGTGCACTTACCTATGAACTTTCCAAGTTAAAATTTATACTAAATCAAATTTCAAATAATTCTATTTACTTTAGCATCACAAAACTTACTTAGTAATAGAGGCAGACTTTAGAAATAAGGCAGGTTTGGTTCCAGACCATGGCCACAAAGTAACTCTTACGGTAAAATGATCCTCAGGAGTATTTCAGCTCCCAAATGGGTATAGAAGTTACGTTTACACTATACTATAGTCTGTTAAGTGTACCTTGGCATTATGTATAAAAAAGTATATATTTTTATTTTTAAACGTATTATTGATAAAACAAAATGCTCACCATCACCTGAGTCTTCTCTGAGTTACAATCTTTTGTTAGTGGAGGGTCTTGTCTCGTTAATGGCTGCTGGCTGATGAGGGTGGTCCTTACTGAATGTTAGGGTGGCTGTGGCAATTTCTTAAGTAAGGCAACAATGAAGTTTGCAGCATTGGTTGACTCTTCTTTCCAGTTGAACATGAAGAGGCCATTGTCAGGTTGTTAATTGGCCTCATTTCCATGTTGTTGCGTCTCAGGGCATAGGGAGGCCAGAGGAGAGGGAGAGTCAGGGGAACAGTGGGTCACTGGAGTTGTCCCAGCACACGCACCATTTATCAGTTAAGTTCACTGTCTCATGTGGAAGTGGTTTGTGGTGCCCTGAATCAATTGTATTAGTAACATCAAAGGTTGCTGATCGAAGATCACCGTAACAAGCGTACTAATAATGAAAAAGTGTGAGATACTCTGAAAATGAGCAGAATGTGAGATGGAGACAGAAAGTGAGCAAATGCTGTTGGAAAAGTGGTGTTGATCAGTTTGCTCAATGCAGGGTTGCCACAGACCTTCCTTTAATTTGTAAAAGACACAATAAAGCAAAGCAAGATAAACTTGAGGGATGCCTATAAGCTTCATTAAAGAGGTACAGAATTTATGCTCTGAAACGGCAAAACATTGTTGAAAGAAATGAAAAAAGACCTAAATAAATGGAAAGATACCCTGTGTTCACAGACTGGAAGACTTAAATATTGATAGAATTGTGGCTCTCCCTCAGTCACTCTATACTTTCAAAGCAATCCTTGTCCAACTTCTAGGTGTCTTTTTATTTTTTGGCAGAAATTGGCAGTTTCATCCTATATGTCTTATGGATATGCATATTATCCAGAGTAGCCAAGACCCTTTGGCAAAAGAGCAAAGTTTGAAGCCTCACACTTCTTATTTTTAAAACCTACGGCAGAACTACACTAGGGCTTCCCAGGTGACTCAGTGGTCAAGAATGCAAGAGACACTGGTTTGATCCCTGGGTTGGGGAAGATCCACTGGAGTAGGAAATGACAACTTACTCCAGTATTCTTGCCTGGAAAATTCCATGACTAGAGGTGCCTGGAGGGCTACAGTCCATGGGGTCACAAAGAGTCGTCAAACACAACTGAGTGACTGAGCACACACACACACACACAT